TTTTTTTAAGAAACTTAATAGCAAAGCCATTAGTTTGACAAAAAGTCCTAGGATTCAGGCTTAATCTATTTGCCTATATTTTCTGTATCTATAGGACTCTATGTGAAGCCTGATGTTGATGACAACTTGAAGTAGTGCAAGAATAACAAACATTCTTATGAATGTAACTGGTCACTAGATTCGATTGCTGGCGCCAGTTGGGGCGCATGTGGGAGGCACCAATCAATGTGTCTCTCTCCCCCCCTCCCTTCCACTCTCTAAATCAGTGGAAAGATATCTTCAGGGAAGCATTAACAACAACAACAAAAAGCAATGTGGGTTAAAAAGCTAGTTTCATGACAAAGAAGAAACACTTTTTTTTATTTTTGCTGAGAAGAGAATCAGTTTTTATGTGTTAAATAACAAACTGCAAAAGCAACTAACTCTTTCAAAGTTACCTTCATTGTCTTTGGGTCAAGTTTAGACCAATGGGTAGGAGTAGAAATTTCTTTAGCTTCACCATCATCCTTCTCTTCTTCATCCTGATATACAAAGTTAAGAACCTAATTATTATTCTGAAACCTTAAAATAAAGGTAATTTATTTTTAAAAGTCTGTTGCTGATCTGTGCAAGGTCACAAATGTTTCAGATTGTCTTCTCCTAAAGTTATTTAGGCAAATCCACGTACATACATTCTACCACTTTTAATTGATCACAAAGACACTCATCAGCCAATCAAAGCCAGATCTGTGAAACACAAAAGGGTGATAAATTACAACACAAAGGATATCAGGGATGCACAAACACTGCCGGTCTCCACTAACCACACAGTGTGTGATCTTGCCCCAATTTTCAAACCACCCGAAGTTAAGGTTGATTTAGCCAGACCTTTCAAATGTACCAAAGATGATGCCACATAGCCTGAAATTTCAAATCTCTCAGACTTGTGGTTGTCCAATTTCAAATATCCATGATTAGAACTGATGACCGTGAAAGAGAAAATTTTTTAAATTTTAGAAAATGGCAAAATGTTTAAAATGGCTTAATACTGAATCTTGCTCAACAACTGGTCCCAGATTCCAGCAATTAGACCTATGATAAAAACAAAATTCTGTGCAATTTAAGCACAACTTATTTCCTTTGAGGTCTCAGAACTCTTAAAGTTAGCATAACAGACAGATTTTTAAAAAGGAAAGAACATACAACTATACTGCTGAAAGCTGGATTACCAGTCGCTGTTACCAGTTATGTTCCTCCATGTGTGTTTGTTATGTAGTGTGTGGTGTGCTTTGTGCCTGTGTTCCTGTGCCTGTGAGAAGCGGAAATAGAAAAAGGGATTAGCGTTCAGTGCCTGTTCTCCATCAGCCTCCTTGCGTTCACCCTGAAGCTTCTCCACCAGCTGCTGCTTGTATCCTCGGGAGAGGGTTTCCCACTCTGAGCGGGTGGGAAGGCAATGCCAAACATCCGGGAAAAATAAAACCACTGTCTCCACATGAGCTGGAACTGTACGCCCCTTGTGGGTCTCCTCAGGGCGATGGTAGCGAATCTCTGCAAAACGGTACCTGTTGCAAGGGAAGAAGCATGTTGGAAAAAAAATTCTAAAATACATTTTAAAGACCCTAGTTCACTTGTAGCACATCAAGTAAAGAAATTTTGCTGCAAGAACTTGCGGTTGGTCTAAAGAAAAAAAAAATTATAGAAGCCATAGTTCCTCTTTTGGTACATTTGTACAATATTTATAGTTAAAAGAAGAATATATTCCCCAACGCATTTTCATGTTTGATTAAAGAGCTACGCATATTTTAGGGAATACCTGAAGAAGCTGGATAGCTGTTCAGATTTCATGTGCTAAAAAAAAAAATTCTCAATTAAGTCACAAGAAATATACTAAAATACACAGGACAAATAAGCCTCAAGAGAAAATATGGCTGAACAAAAATAATCAGCAACTACATCATCTTATAACAAAAGAATTATAATGAAATGAAGTTCTCTCTTGACGATCTTCTCCAGCTATGCATGAAATGAAAAATATTTTCAACATACAATGAAACTTCCGAAGTACAGCATAACAAAGCATTTAAATTTTCAGTTTATTTTGATTAGTTCTTAAATCTCCCTCCCCCCCAACATTTTTGGCACCAAATAAACTTTTGCTACAAATGGGGATTTTTCCTTTGAGGTTACCTGCATGATCAAGGTTGCTAAAATAAGGGGAGGGAGTGTAGGCTGATAGACAAGATCATCTACATAAACTATTAGAAAAACATTTCTAATCAAAAAATGAATTGGTACTTACCATTGTGTGCACACACTTAGATCAATGCCTGTCAGAGCCTTACAACAACGAATAGCAGTCTTAATCAACACAGAGGGATCTTTTTCTGGGTCTGGTCCATCCAACGAAGGAGACCAGTGGCCTCCAATGGCCATGGCTTCATCCTTGCCTTTCATGCCCACTAAAAACTAATTCAAAACAAAGAATCATTTACATATATTATGCAACTTATAAAATTACACATAAAATACTTGAAAAGGAAAGGTACAAACCTTTCCAATATCATTTTTACTACCTCTGGTATCTGTCAGTCAAGGAAGAGTTCAGTTCATTGTGTTCCACACTGCATTTCAGCAATGGAATAGGATTTACACATCATAACTCATCCTTCTAAAACATTTCTTCAGATAAAGAGTTCTTTTAAAGAAACAAACTATAATTCATACTTTAAAAGCACCCAAAGATACACTAAATCATTATCATTAAGATTTATCTATACTACAAATATACAACATCAAAATCACAGCTGAAGTAGTGACATAATGAATAAGATATAGCCATAATCTGCAGTGAGAAAAACATCAACATCATTACAGTCTGAATACCTTAATATTAAAATTATTATTAAACTCATCAACAAGATTAAATAGTGTTTTAAATTTTATATATAGTACACACACACACACACACACACACACACACACACACACATTTAGAACCAAGCAAAGCAAATATACATCTAAAGTTATGTTTCATTTTACCTTAACAAGTCTAGCAGGATGTTGAAATCCATCTCGAAGTTCTTGTGGGTCTTCAGCTAGAGCACAGGACTTATGATACAAATCTTCCATACTAGGGCTGGCCATCAGCATTACCTATTATAGTCAAATAATTCAATCCTGTCAAAAGTCTATGTAAAGAAAATAAGAAGCACTACGTATTATCCTTACATATTAGATACCCAAATTTTTTAATAAAAATGTAAAGTAAAATGCTACAGCACCCAGAAGGTGTGACTCAGTGGGTGAGCATTGACCTATGAACCAGGAGGTCACATATCGATTCCCGGTCAGGAAACATGCGCAGGTTGTGGGCTTGGTCCCCCGTAGGAGGTGTGCAAAAGGCAGCCCATTAGTGATACTCATCACTGATGTTTCTACCTCTCTCTACCTCTCCCTTCCTCTTTCAAGTCAATAAAAATATATTTAAAAAAATAGATACCTTATAACTATACAGTTTTAACATTTCAAGGCATTCTTTTTGATGTTTTAAAACATCAGAAAACTACTGATCATAGCAATATACTAAAAGTTACCCTGCAGACTAACATATAATACATTCACCCACCATTATGTTTTATCTGGCCTAGTCAAAGTCATAGAACATTCCAAAAATCTCATTACATCAACTTCATCTTCACATTTTTATGTGGTTCAAAGTGTTAAAATATAACCATAATTTTACAGTTTAAGAGGTAAGGTAAAGAGAGGTCAAATTAAATTACTAAAACAAACAAACAAAACAGAATAGCAGACAAGAAAACGTAGGAATTCAAGGTCTTACACCTAATAACCACTTTCTGAAAATTAACTCCACATACACTCTTAATATGAGTAACTGCTCATAAATTTTAGCTGTGTATTGCAAAATACAAACCTTTGCACTGTATAAGTGGTCGGCATCTGGTGGATCAAGAATGGCCATATTTTTTTCTAAGGACTCTACTTCTCTGTGCATTACATAAAAATTGCAGTAATTTCCCAGTTGAAATGGTCTTGACAAAGGGAAAGCATCCACCCATGTAAACTGAGCATCAAAAAAGTCACTAGGTATATATAAATTCTGATAACGGCGCCTTAGTTCCATCATGTCACAACTAGGACTGAAAAAAAGACATAAGTAGTGAATAAAAAGCCTTAATACCAAAGAGTATGCAAACATTCACTCAATTCTGAAGCTAAACATCTAACCTGACATGGCTAAAAGCCAGCTGCAAATGGTCAATTACTAATGAGCTATAGATGTGCAGAAAGGCATATGATAATCTCATTTTCAAAATGTTTACTTACAGCTTTGAATAAATAACATATCTAAATGTTACCTTTATTTCTTTACTTTTTGTGTGTAGCTTAAAATTCATTAGAGAAGACCCTTTGAAATAACTTCAACCCCAGCTCCAGAGAAGATCTGAACAAAAGCAGTTCTGTCTCAGTTGAAACTGTGCACTTTTGAGAAAGTTATGGTTCATATAGAATGACAGAAAGAAGGGATAAGAGTGGTACCAAATTAGTATAAGTGCTCCTCAATCAGTTTTATACAGCGTAGAAATACAACTTTTACTCTACAGTAAGATCCTAGGTCAAGAATATTTACATTCAAAATTAAATAAAATTCACGTGAAAGCAAAATCCAAATCTTTTTTGGATTATCCACACTTCCATACCTCTCAGTATTAATGATTAAGATCCGTACCTGATTGCTCATTATGTAAAGAGAGGGTAAGATTCTGGCCTTTTAAACCTGGCATACTGATTTTTTTTTAAAGGTTCATTTCCTTTTTCCTAAGAAGCAAAGCTTTTAAGGGAGAGAAACTAAAAGGTAAATCAATCTGATAAAAAGCCAAGAGATTTCTGTTAAAAGCATAATGAAAAGTGGAAAATGCAATTTGCAAGATGAAAAGATAACTATACTGTCTTTTAAAGGACAATTAAAACAAGGGTATAAAATGTGAACTAATATATAGGTATGTCTTTTTATTTGAAGCCTAAAAATAAAAAGCATAGAATGATAAACTTGTCAGTTATGATTACTGATATAATTATACTTTATTTGGATAAAATTCTATTGTAAAAATCTATAAAACAGGTATGTGAGTTTTGTTTTTGTTGTTTTTAAAGAAGTGCTGCAAACAGAAAGTATGTGTAATAGCTTCCTAGTTTCCCATCACTAGAACTTTTGATGTTGTATCCTACCCCATAGGAGTAAAATCTATAAAACAAGAGATAAAAAAATACAAATAAATCATTTCTTGGCATACAGTCTCTTATAATCATATTACTATAAGAAAATCAGGATTTCCAATAATTATAAGAAGAGGAATGAGAACGTTAAAAATCATTTATATTTGTAATGGTTTCATTTGATATTATGGGAATTTACTTCAAAGTGGTGAAGTGAAACTCTGAATGTCTAATTTGAAAGGAGATAGATAACTGTTAAATTTACATCCTAGGTATCAACTCTTTCTAGAATAGCATTCTAAGCTGGGAAAAGATGAGTTTAAAGTAGAGCTGCTCGCCCCGGCCAGCGTGGCTCAGGAGGGTCTCAGGTTTGATTCCCCGTCAAAGGCACATACCTGGGTTGCAGGTCTGACCCCCAACCCTGGTCAGAGCGCATGTGGGAGGCAACCAATTGATGTGTCTCTGTCACATGGATATTTCTCTCTCTCTCTCTCTAAAAAAAAAAAAAAATCAACGTAAAAATATCCTCGCTCCTTGGGTGAGGATTTGAAAAAAAGTAGAGCTGCTCTATTTAATATCTTTGGGACTGGAGATAGTTTTGGTTCCAAAAACTTTTTCTCAACTATACAGACTACATATTTTAAGTATACAAGTAAACAGGGATAACAAGACAACTAGTATAAATTAAGAGTAGTTGCACCCAGCCGGTGTGGCTCAGTGGTGGAGTGTTGACCCAGGAACCAAGAGGTAGGTCCTGAGTTTGATTCCAGATCAGGGCACATGCCTGGATTGGGGGCTTGACCCCAGTAGGAGGCATGCAGAAGGTGGCCGATTGATGTTTCTCTCTCATCAATGCTTCTATCTCTCTATCCCTCTCCCTTCCCCTCTCTCTCAAATCAATAAAAAAATATTTAATTAAAAAGTTAAAAAAGAGTAGTTGCTGACTTGATCACAAGCAAGAGTAAATGAAAACCAACTACATAACAATTAAGCAAAGTCACCAAGCAAAAAATTTTGGCAATGAGTAGCATAAATAAAATACACTGGTTTACTCAATCTAGAACTGTATATAGAGAAATTTTAATGTTTGATAGCCCAATATTATGAATATTAATTATAACACTTTGTTGAAATGCAGCAATACTCTCTTAGGACACTGAAATGCAGTTATTTGTTCCTATGTGAAACTGCTTTAAATGCTGCTTGTAATGATTTATTTTTATTTTACTGTCAATTTGTTTTTTTCTGTCTGTTATTTCTTCTTATACATAACTGTCAGTCCCAAGGCCTTCAGATAATTCTTCCATTCCCTTAGAGTAAATTAGTCATTTACCAATTTCCCTTTTTATGAATTACAACTTTGCAGCCATTACTGAGTATCTACAAATGACACACACTATTGCTTTAGATACATGAACTCACAATTCTTGCTAGTTGATATAATTTCCTCTTTGCATGTGAAGTTCAAAAATTCTTTGTTTTAAATTGATTTATGAGAGAGAGAGAAAGAGAGAGAAAGAGAAATATCAATTTTGTTGTGCCACTTATTATGTATTCACTAGTTGATTCTTATATATGCCCTGACCAGAGATTGAACCCACAATCTCTGGTGTATTGGGACGATGCTCTAACCAACTGAGCAACCCAGCAGGGCTTCAAAAATTCTTAGTAACTTGCCCATTATTTCTGATTCCAAAGACTGAAAAATGTGTTGTTTTTTTAAAACATATAGACATGTGTGTATATTTTTATTATACTGTATTACCACAGCTAACTTGAAATATTTCATCCATTCCTGTATTATATTATCAGACACAATGGACTATGCATAAACTTAATAAAGTTATCAATAAATCTGGATCTTAAATGATTCTAACTTTAACGAATAACTTCATCACAGAGTGGCTGCCTTTTTCAATAGCTGATACCTCTAATGAGTGTATGAAAATAATGTAATCCTGGCAAAGAACTAAACTGCTACTTCAAATTGCATTTCTCCTCTTGTATAAATTAAAATTATTAAGTATAAAGAAATGAAAGTTGCGAGAAAAATATATCTGTATATAACACATTCTACTAAGCTACACAAAATTACAAAACTAATAACTTCATAAGAAGTGGGGGAAAATAACTTACCAATCTAAAGAAAACTTTGAAAACTGAACTGTGTAACGTGGGACAACACGGCGAACTCTCCGAGGCGAGCGTTCTCTCTCTCTTCGAGGCGATCTCTCCCGGGAACGTTTTCTCTGAGGAGACCTTTCTCTGGATCTGCGTCTATCTCTCTCCCTTTCACGACTTAAAAAACAACAACAAAATTTCCTAAAATTAATAATTTTTCTAGCATTATCTAAGAATTCCTTCATGAAATAAGTTAATATAAGATTCTACAGTATACTTTTTAAAATAATTTTTATGAATTGTGGTAAAATATATACAACATAAACTTAATCATTTCAATCATTTTTTTAGTGGCATTAAGTGCATCACATTATGCAACCATCATCCCCATCTAAAAACATACCTTCGGCCTGGCCGATGTGGCTCAGTGGTTGAGAGTTGACCTAAGAACCAGGAAATCACGGTTCATTCCTGGTCAGAGCACATGCCCAGATTGCGGGCTAGATCCCCAGTAGGGGGTGTGCAGGAGGCAGCCGATCAATGATTCTCATCATTGATATTTCTATCTCTCTTTCCCTCTCCCTTCCTCTCTGGAATCAATAAAAATATATATTTAAAAACATACCTTCGATCATCTTTTCTGTTAGGCACTTGATCCCCTCTGTCATTCCTTCCTGAAAATCTGGATGGTGGATCTAACCTTCGTGCTGGTTGTGGCTGTGAAACTATACGAACAGGAGGCTGCAATAAGCCAGCTTTAAAAGATACAGAAAAAAACCAAACATTTTTACTTAAACAAAGTTCAAAAGCATTACCTGGTTAAATTTTATAGGCAGAAAATGTTGGCTAATATTTTAGGCTCTCTGACCCATGAATGGTGGAGACCGTTTTGTATATTTGGGTATTTTTTTACAACCCTTTAACAATGCAAAACCCATTTTTAGTTCAGGGACAACACTAAACCAGGCCATGGACCAAATCCAAGGGATATAGTTTGCCAACCCTTGATCTTCTGACATTAAACCAAAGATTGCTATACAATAAGATATTCACAGGGTGCCAAAGTATCATCCAGAGATTATCTACACAGAGAAAAAACACTTTTTATAATACAAAGATTTATGGCCACCACTTTGATCATGTAATCAAATGTAGCATCGATAATAGTGGAAGTATCTGACACCATGTGCCTCTTAGTATGATGCAATATAATAAAGTACAAAACATTGCCTATAATATGTTCTTGCCAAATGCCTTTAGACTTAACCTAGAGTTTATAGTTTATATGGTGGTGGATAGAGGAATAAGGTAAAAATATCACAAGGAATCAAGACAAATCCAGAATATAACATTCCAAAAGAATTTACAAATCAACTGGCCCAATTTCTTAAAAAAACCAAGGTAATAAAATAAAAAAGAGAAAGTAGAAGCTATTCTAAAATAAAAAACACTAAAGAAACATAACCAAATATAATGCATGAAACTTGGCTTTCTGTTTAAGAAACAAAAAACAACCTTAGAAGATATTTGGGCCGTGGCTGGTTTGGCTCAGTGGATAGAGCATTGCCCTTTGTACTGAAGGGTCCCGGGTTTGATTCCAGTCAAGGGCACATGCCCGGGTTGCGGGCTTGATCCCCAGTAGGGAGCGTGTAGAGGCAGCTGATCAATGATTCTCTCTCATCATTGATGTTTCTATCTCTTCTCTCTCTGTACCTTCCTCTCTGAAATCAATCAAAATATATATTTTTTAAAAAGGACATTTGGGAGACAACTGAAGAGATCTGAATATAAACAGGGTATTTAAATGCTTTCTCTTAGATGTGATAATAGATTGTGGTAATACAGGAAAACTCTCTTTTAGGAAGGACATGCTTAAATATATGGGAGTGAAAAGTCATAGTGTCTGGTAATTACTTCAAACATTTAAGCTAATATCATGTGTATTTGTTAATTTATGCAGACAAAACACTTTGATAAAATGTGAACTGTTCAGGGTTGTAAGTATACAAGTAATCATTATACTGTTTTTCAACATTTTTATATACATGAAATTTTTTCATGAAGATTTGGGAGAGAAAAATAACCAGCTAACTTATGAATATTGCTTATGTTAAGTAATACTATACCAGCTAAAGATCAATGGGCTGGTATTACTGAAGGAATCCCTTGCCAATGCAGATTTCCCTACCATTCTGCCAAGTGAACCCTAACAGTCCACTGATCCCTTCTCTCTCTTCTACTGTTTTTTTTAAAATATTTTATTGATTTTTTATAGAGAGGAAGGGAGAGGGATAGAGAGTTAGAAACATCGATCAGCTGCCTCCTGCACACTCCCCACTGGGGACGTGCCTGCAACCAAGGTACATGCCCTTGACTGGAATCGAACCTGGGACCCTTCAGTCCACAGGCCGACGCTCTATCCACTGAGCCAAACCAGTCAGGGCTCTTCTACTGCTCTTTTTTTTAAAAAAAAAAATATATATATATTTTATTGATTTTTTATAGAGAGGAAGGGAGAGGGATAGAGAATTAGAAACATCGATGAGAGAAACATCGATCAGCTGCCTCCTGCACACTCCCCACTGGGGACGTGCCTGCAACCAAGGTACATGCCCTTGACTGGAATCGAACCTGGGACCCTTCAGTCCACAGGCCGACGCTCTATCCACTGAGCCAAACCGGTTAGGGCTCTTTACTGCTCTTATTGCTCCTCTCAAGCACCTACCAAACTCAAGGGATACATCACCACCAGAAACACTGCTTTCTTGAGCCCTTCCACAGAAGCCATATCTCTTCTTGAGAGAGTGACAGGGGGAAAATGGTATTCAAGTCCTATTCATAACTGAAAACAAATCCTCTAAGGAAAAAAAGATGAGAGGGAAAAAATAAGAAATTATAGGACTAAAGATCAGATACAGGGAAGAACCAAGTAGTCTGGAAACAGCCTGGCATTACCTAGTAAGTTTAACATACACAAACCCTCAGACCCAGCAATTTCACCAGAAAATATACGCTCTATGGAAACCTGTGCACATTGCCTCACACATGTATGCATTCACAGCAGCAGCTTCAGAAACCAAAAACTAGAAACAACAAATGTTTACCAAAGAACAGACCAACTGTATACTATTCATACTATGGAATATTATGCAAGAAGGAAAATGAAGACATTAGAGCCACACAGAATAGTATGAAAAACTTTAAAAACATAATGTTGAACAAAAAAATTTGTACACAAAAGATTATATAAATAGAATCACAGATTATGTAAAAAACAAAACTAAATTGTATTCTGAGGATATATACTTAGAGGGTTAAACTATTAGAAAAGAGTTAACTAGCAATGTTGTATTTTTTTGCCCAATTAGTGATTTACACGGGTGTTCACTAATAATGTTATACCGTTTCATCACTTTAAGTGTATCATAATTTACAATAAAAGAGAAAGTGCCGCCATTACATTTTTTAAAAATACCAATTAAACAGGCTTCTATTAACCCAAGGCTATAATTTTAAACATTCTTTAAAAATCCCAGAGTTTCAAATAATCAATATACAAAGGAAAATTTAAAACACAGCTCATTTTTTTGATGCACTATGGTTCAATGAAGAACTTAAAGTGCTATCACCAGACCCTACATGTACATAAAATGTTATATTTATAAGAAATAAGTCTCAAAAACATTTACTTCAGTTACAGATAAGATACCAAAATGGGGACAGAGGACTCAGTTTAAGTTAGCAAAGAGCATGTCTTTCGATAAGAACAATCAAATAAAAAAGTTTCCAAATAGCTATAAAAGTAGAAGTGGCTTAGCCCTGACCGGGTAGCTCAGTTGCTTGCAGCCTTGTCCCATAGACCAAAAAGGTTGCTCGTTCAATCCCTGGCCCAAGAGGGGAAGAGTCGATGTTTCTGTTTCTCTCTCTCTACCTCCTCTCTCTCTCTCTCTCTCTCTCTCTCAAAAATTAATAAAAATATATCCTTGGGTCTGCTGGCGTGGCTCAATTATTGAGCGCAGTCCTATAAACCAGGAGGTCACTGTGTGATTCCTGGTCAGGACACATGCCTGGGTTGCGGGCTCAATCCCCAGTGTGGGGAATGCAGGAGGCAGCCAATCTATGATTCTCTCTCATCAATAATGTTTCTATCTCTCGCTCCCTCTCCTTCCTCTCTGAAATCAATAAAAATATATTTAAAAAAAAAGATATATCCTTGGGTGAGGATTAAAAAAAATAAAGTAGAAGTGGTCTACACAGGATACTTAACTCTCAAGTATTTTGGAAGTCCCTATTTTTTCGTAATTAGAAGTATACTCTTACTATTTTAACAATTATGTATTAGTCTGAAACATAAAAAACAAAGATACATTGCATATAATACCTTTCTGCTGTGGCTGCTGTAATAAAGGCTGTGGTTGAGTCTGCAACAGTGGTGTAATAGAAGCTGCTGAAATCTGTGCCTGTAGCAGTGACTGAGGCTGGGGCTGAGCCTGAACACCAAATGTTGTCTGTGGTGCAATTGGCTGAAGTACAGCAGGAGGAGTCTTCAGTAAAGGTTGGGTTTGGGACTGATTCTTAACAAAAATAAATAAACTTTTAAAATATGAAAGAAAAATCTTTATAAATCAGACAACTCAATGACCAAGTTTCTACAATAGCTAACTCAATATTTCATATACCTGATTTGGTAGTGTTTGAATTCTTTGTGCATTCCATTTAAATGGCATATTAGGATTATATGTAGCTTCAACCAAAACTCTGTCACCCACTTGAGGGGTTTTCCCTTTGACAGCACTAGAAAAAAAAAAAAAAGTAAAAGCACATTTAAAAGAGTTTCCTCCAAAAGAGATTTACAAATTTGGTATTTTAAAGTACATTATTTCAAAAGCAAGGAAAGAAAAAGAAAAGGGGGGAAAAAAGTTAAGTATATCTAACCCCAATATATTCAACAAAAAAATAAAACAACCAGCCAGTGTAGTTCAATGGTTGAGCTCATCAACCTATGAATCAGGAGTTCAGTTCGATTCCCAGTCAGGACACATGCCCAGGTTGCAGGTTCGATCCCCAGTGTGGGGCGTGCAGGAGGTAGTCTATCAATGATTCTCTCTCATCACTGATATTTCTATTTTGCTCCCTCTCCCTTCCTCTCTGAAATCAATAAAAATATGTGTTTAAAAAACCATATTTTTAGTATGTAGGTAATCCTCATACTTTGGGCTTTGGAAAGATAAGAGAAAGGCATGTAAAATTTGCTTTGGGCTTTGGAAAGATGAGAGAAAGGCATATAAAATGGAAAAATAGGAGACCCACTTTCAAAAAAATCATATAGTAAGGTCATTAGAAATATATTTGAAATAGCTAAGGAAATTCACTAACAAAATACTATTTTGGATATGTTAGTTCACTAATCACTCAATCCTATTTATTAATATTTTAATTTTAAAATGTTTTTAGTACCCTGGCTAGGTAGCATCATCCTGATATGCTGAGGTTGTGTGTTCGATCAGCAGTCAGGGCATATACAAGAATCAACCAATGAATGCATAAATAAGTGGAACAACAATCGATTTCTTTCTTTCTCTTTCCTTTCCTCTCTAAAATCAATTTTTAAAAATTTTATAAAAAGAATGTTTTTAGTTTATACATCACTAGATATGTCAAACAGAAGATAAATTTTAAAAGCCATGTGAATATTTCAATCCCTAATTTCATTGTATGTCTAAACATGAAAAATTAGAAATAACTCACTCCTACAAAATGTTTATAAAAAATTCACATTACTAGTTCATTTAATAACCAAATTATAACTTCAGTCACATTCTCCATTAAAAAAGGTCATGGGTACAAGTATGACAAGCTGAATGATTAAAACATAAAATTATAGCTAAATCACAATCCTTTGCACAATTAAGCAGGTACTATCAATATACATAATGTTAAATACAAAAAGGCATCTGCCAACACCTAACAAAGTTTACCTAAGCTGAAAGAATACATCTTCATCCACAAACCCAAATGTATCGTGTAGTTTTGTGACTACTCCTGTAAAAACACGCTGTTTCTGAGGTTGGGTTTGTTGCTGACTGGATCTTGGTGTTGGATATGATACAGTTATCTGTGCTGCAGGCTGAGGCGTAGACAGGCTAAGACTTGTAGGCAGTGCAACAGCTGGCTATAAAACAAAATCAAAATCAAATTAAGGTAGTGATTTGAAATAGTCTGCAAATTCTCTAAAAATCAATTTTAAAAATCTAAAACAATAAAAAAGAAATAGTCTAGAAATTAAAAATAACTCAAAATGCTAAAAATAATTTATTTGAAGTTAGAAAAATACACCTGTACACCTTGAAGATAAGAATCAAGTTTAAAAAATAGGTCATTTGAGGAAAAAGATACTGTAGTACAATGAGTTTAAAGAGCAGTGCTTAACCTGGCTGGTATGGCTCAGTGGCTGAGCGTTGTCCGGTTTGCAAGCTTGATCCCCAATGGGGAGCATATAGGAGGCAGCCAATAAATGATTCTCTTGCATCATTGATGTTCCTCTCTCTCTCTCCCTCTCTGAAATCAATTAAATATATATACACACACATATATATATTTTCAAAGTGCTTATTTTAGTTTTCTCTTAAGAATTCAAAATCCATAGTGGCATCATAAAGACTCAGGAAAGTCCTATATAAGTGAATTAAGTCATAGAAAGGCCAATATGTATGATCTCATGTGGAGAGCGGCTACAGTGCTTGGACAGGTTATGGTCCGAACCTGTGGTCCCACAGGTTATATAAGTGATATAAACTGCAGGAGGTACAGCAAATAAACAAAGCTTGATCAGGTGCATGTAATTGAGTAAGATTCGAAACCCACAAGAACTTTGTAAACATCTTGACCATAACCTTACTTTGCCCCGTGGAATTTATACTAATAAAAGGGTAATGTGCTAATTAGACCAGGAGACCTTCCAGACAAAGCCATGGTGGCAGGGCCAAGGCAGAGGCAGTTAGGGGTGATCAGGCCAGGAGGGGAGGGCAGTTGGGGGCGAGCACAGCCACAAGATGTTTGGCTGGGGAGAGCAGTTGGGGGCGATTGGGCTGGCAGGGGGGCAGTTGGGGGTGAACGGGCTGTTGGGGGGCCTAACTGGGGGCGATCAGGCCGGCAGTGGGGGGAGCAGTTGGGGGCAAGCAGGCCAGCAAGCAGAGTGGTTAGGGGCGATCAGGCAGGCAGGCAGGTGAGCGGTTAGGAGCCAGCGGTCCCAGATTGTGAGAGGGATGTCCGACTGCCAGTTTAGGCCCAATTCCACAGGGGCCTAAACCGGCAGTTGGACATCCCCTGAGGTCCCAGATTGGAGAGGGTGCAGGCCGGGCTGAGGATACCCACCTCCCCCATGCACGAATTGTGCACCGGGCCACTAGTCTGGCTATAAAATAAAGACTCGGCTTGCAGGCTTTGGCGCTGTCTCTCCATTAGAGAAGGTGGTGTCCCACCCAGCCCCAGCTTTCTTCTCTTGTCTGTCTTTTCTTAATCCTTCACCGCCCCCTCTCAGGCTCACTGTGCTGACACGGAACAATCTCACTCATGTGAAATTAAAAAAACACACAAAGATCTCAAAGAATCAGAACCAAATGGTGGCTGCCAGACAAGTGTAGGGGAAACAGGTGAAGGTGGTCAAAAAGTACAATATTCCAGTTACAAGATAAATAAGTTCTGGGGATATAATGTACAGCATGATGACTATAGTTAATAAAACTACTGTATATTTGAAAGTTGCTAAGAGAGATCTTAAGTTCTCATCAAAAGAAAAAAAATGTATAACTATGTGAAAGTAATTATTTAATCAAATTTACTTTGGTAATAATCATTTTACTATATATATATATATATATATATGTAAAATCATATTGTACCTTTAAACGAATACAATGTTATATGTCATTTACACCTTAATAAAACCAGGAAAAAATTAAAATGTTAACACTTGCATTGGTCTTTTCTGGCACAATCAAGCATGACTAACAACACATTGATTAAAATTTCTGCATAGAAATAGAAATAATATCAAAATAAAGGAGCAACCATCTGATTCTTCAAGTCAAATCATGGGATTTGTTTTACACCTACTCAATAAAGCTAGTCTCCAAGTTCAAAAATTTTTTAAAAAAGCAGCCCTGGCCCACTTGGCTCAGTGGATAGAGCGTCAGCCTGCGGATTGAAGGGTCCCAGGTTTGATTCCGGCCAAGGGCACATGCCTGGGTTGCAGGCTTGATCCCTAGTGGGGGGCATGCAGGAGGCATCCAATCAATGATTCTCTCTCATCATTGATGTTTCTATCTCTCCTTCTCCCTTCCTCTCTGAAATCAATAAAGAAATATATTAAAAATAAATAAATAAAATAAATAAAAAGCAAAGTCCTATATTCGTACAGTAAAAGAACTCCGCATTTCTTAAACTACGATCACAAAATTATTTTCTCATAAAATTTCTTTAACATTCTAACACACTAATGGTTTATGGGCAGACTTTGGGAAATGTTATTCTAAGAAAAGACAAAATTTTACAGCTTTTCTACTTAATTTGGAAATTCTACTATTAGAGATTGAAAATATGAAACATGTTAGATTTTATTTCTTTAATAATAACAACAAAGTTTGAGGTTGATTGCCCATTTGAAGTGTACTTTAAAAAAAACAACTAACAGGTTCAAGACTAAAAAGGTATAAAAGGTTATATAGTAAAGAGCTCCTCTCCTACTCCTATTCCTCAGGTGCTCATTTCCCTAACCATGGGTGCAATATATATTAGAGATTCTGCTTTCTTTTGAACAGTTGCACAGTATTTCACTCTAAGTACATACCAGGGGTCAGTGAACTATGGCCTATGGAACGATATTCAGCACAGCACACAGGTTAATTTTGTACAGCATACAAGCCAAGGATAGTTTTTACACTTTATAAGGGTTATAAAAAAGAAAAATGAAATGCAAGAGATTTTCAGTGACCCATAAAGCATAAAGTAAACATTACATATCCAAAGTTCAAAACCTTAAAAAACTTTTTTTTAAAATTGATTTCAGAGGAGATAGAAACATCAATGATGAGAGAGAATCATTGAACAGCTGCCTCTTGCATGCCCCCTACAGGGGTAGAACCCACAATCGGAGCATCTGCCTTGACATAGTTTTCAACCATGACCTCCTGGTTCATAGATTAAAGCACAATCACTGAGCAACAATGGCTTGGCCAAAAACGTTTTAATGTTACTAAAAACTAGGCTGATAATGTAAATAGCTACTTCACCTTTAAGGTCAACCTTAAAAAGATATGTAATGTGTACAAAAATTTCCTAAAAATATTCAAAGAAAATATAAATGCCAGTATCAGTAATAAGTTTAAAATAAGACCTTATACTAGTATTTATTCAAACTAGATCACAACTCAATCTGCAATCAAAAGCTATAAAAAACAAAAACATACTTTTCATTTTTATTTAGCATAGTGCTAACCTAGTATGTGAATCCAAAAAATATTCATTTTTCAACCCCGAAAGAAAAACTTTGCTCTACTCTTCATTCAGATATCCAAAAGAAAGTCAAACTAACCTGTGTTAAAAGGGTCTGCTGAGGTTGCTGCAACTGAAAAAAGAAAACACAAAAACAGGAAAGAAAAAAGAAAAGGATCAATCAAAATTGTCTCATACATGCTTTCTTCATTTAAGAAAAAATTCCTATTATATGGCTACTTCTAATTGAGAAATATGTAAAAAGTAACAGGTCATTAGGTATAAAGTTTCCTACAGATACTTCCAACAATTGCAGATCTGATATACTATAACTCACTCATTCAAAAAAAGTAAGAAATTCATCTTTTTTTATTTTATAAGAATAACACTCACAGAAAACCTCCCTAAGTCCCTATTGGGGAAGATTTCTAGTTATGTCATGTGTTAATTACCATGTTACAGAAATTATTCAGTAGATCAGGGGGTCCCTCGGGGGTGAGGACGACGGAGCCCAACGCGCTGGGGCGCTTGCATGCATGACTCCGGAGACCAGGTTCAGAGACATAGATCTAAGTTTATTGAGGAAGTACAGCCGTATATAAAGGGGTAAGCAGCCAATGCAATAGGGACACGCTTGCTATGTTATCCAATGGGTGTGAGGGTCGGGGCTAAGAGTAGGTGGCTCTTGGAGATTTGTCAGGCGGGCGTTGCCACTTCCTGGTGTGCCAAGGAAGCATGTATGCTGGAGTGTGCTCACAGTGTTGCTTCGGCCACAGCACTGATATAAATCTCTTGAGCTCTTCCCACATCTCAACCTTCCTTTTTTATAAGCGCCTGCTGGATGTGGATAATCATAGCTTGCTGTGCATCTATTCTTTGGATCATGGAGTAAAAGCAACGAAACAAGCAGATGCAAGGAGGCCTCCTGCTGCTAGGACGGCCCATACAAATATGTTAGCAGGATTTAACCAGGAGATTAGACGGCTGAGGGCATCACTTAAGAAACTAAACTCAATGGGTTTCACTCGGGTATTGTTGATTCTTAGGATTCCTCGCTGGAGCTGATAGGTGCTGTTTAGGAATGCCTGGCTGAAGGGACCTTTAAGGAGATTTGCTAATTTTTTGCGCTCCCAGGAGGCATTCCTCACTGGAATGGGTGTTAACACAGATGGCAGCGTATCTTATATCACATCGGGTGTGTGATATTTGCCATAAATTATCGAGGTCCTCTTGGATTAAATCTATTTGTTGTTGTAAATTGAGTAACGCTCCCCATATCTATTGGTTTATTGTTGCTTGTGTAACAAAGGCTTGGGCCGTGACCTCTGATAGGGAGTTTAGACTCTGCGCTGTCAATCCCTCCTGGGCTAGAGAAGTGATTCCTGTGGCCATACCTGCTATAGCGGCTAGTATGGCAGAGATTATTAGTATCACTAGTCCTACAGCCCTTTTTTCTATTTTCCGGAATTCCTTATGGATTATTAGTTCAGCCAGCCCGTCCTAGTCGCTGACTTCTACTGGAACCCAGAGTAGCGAGGGGGTGTGCATGGCTAGAGCATAGGCATTGTTTGGATTCCAGCAATTAGATAGTACACAAGATTGCTGGGTACAAGTAAAAGCGCTATTTGCTTTGTAAGAAGAAGAAGGGGGGTCTCACACAGGACCAGTAACTAAAACTATGAGTGGCATTGGGGTCGATTGCGATGTTGTTCTCCCATCTACTTGCCGACTTTTTCCAGGTGCCTTATACAGGCGGGCCCCTTTTAGGCCGGGGAAGGGTCTTTGATCAATACATGCATTGGGCCCGCATAAATCCCACCGCCTGAATTGGGAGCGCAACCCTCGTATGGGGTCTCTTAGTGCAAATGGTGTCATTCCCTTTCTTAACCTTCTCCCCCAAATTCCCAGGGTGTCCGTCTGCGCGTCGGGTTGGAAGGCGCAGAGGCATTCTACCCAGGGGATGCTCATGGAAGGGAGGAGTACGGGGGGACGACTCCTCTGAGAGGAAAAGGTAAGGGCAGAGGGGTACTGTGGAGGGGCTGGTGGAGACCCTGGTCCAGCTCGATAAGGCCAAGGGAAAGGTTGCATTAAGTCCCAGCATAACCTCCTCTGTACAGAAGTGGTTAGTACAGTAAAAGTCCCCGGTTTCATAAGGTGCTAGGTGTATCCACCCTTGTCCCGGGGTAGTCCCATTATCTAGAGTCCACTTAAGGAGGTTAGGGCTACTGATATCAGCCCATACCGTCCCGTTCCATGGCAATGAGACCGGTTCTACTCTGTCACAGGGTAAGCCCACAGAGCAGTTAGACACTCGGACGGCAGGGAATTGTAGGCTGTCGGCGCTGACAGGCATGAGCACCCCTGGATGAGGTATGGCCGCCCATACATGTTGTGCTCTCGCCTGAGAGTTCGCTGTTATGATGGCACACATTAATAGGAATAATGTCCCTGCCGACGGATTGCCTTCTGGTGCCATGCGTGCAGCTTGGTCCTGTAGATTCTTGATGTCTCCCCAGGTAATGTTGTGGGCCCGTCGGTGTCTTGGTCGTCTCCGCCGCCGGGGCTGGTTGTCCTCTATGGTCAGGTCCTCCCTTTCCTCTACCGGGGGTGATGGTGATGGTGGTCTATGGCTCACCGCTGGTGGTGCAGGGTTTGATGTTACGGGCAGGAATCCACACGGGATTTTTCTCACCTTCTGGAAAAATACAAGCAAACCCTCACCCTTGGGTTAAGAGTGGGTCGGGGCCCTTCCAAGCCCCGGTTAGTGGATCTCTCCACCGGACCAAAGGGAGAGGCGTTGGTATGTCTCTGAGACCTCCCTAATGTTTAAAAATGGGAGGAAGACCGTCGGGGGCAAAATGAAAATAATTGAGGGTTATGAGAACCTGTAATAGTTGCTGTTGAGGCGTTAATCTTTGGTTTATCTTTTCCCCTCCTTTTTCCTTAGTAAGCTGGATTTTTAACTCTTTATTTTGTCTTTCTATTATGGCTTGCCCTTGTGGGTTGTATGGTATAAGCCTCGCTAGTGTAGCAGGGGCCGTTATCTGTTTTAATTTCCCAGGGGAAGCCTAATGTTAAAAATGCCCTGTTGAGGGTTGCTATTTCGTGGCGAGTCTTTTCACCTGTGTGAGCTTGAGCATACGTGGCCCCAGAGCAAGTGTCAATGATTACATGTACATATTTGAGCCTACCGAAGCTGGGAATATGGGTCACATCTGCTTGCCATAAGGCATTGGGTTGGAGCCCCCGGGGGTTGACCCCTTGTGGCTGGAGGGGGCCTAAAGGCAATAGGGGGCCGCAGGTTTTGCATGCCCGTATGAGATGCTTGCAGC